TGGTTGTTTGGCTTTACAACAAACGTCACAAGGAGCCAAATTATTTGCATTGGAAATAAAAGGTAACAAAGATAAATAACGGGAAGATGGATGTCCTAGACGACGATGCCATAGTGCTGCAGAATCTGACGTACTGGCAACATGAGCAGAAGCTGATGATGCACACAATATATACACCCCTTCTCGTTCAACACCCGTTCCAATCGTCCTCTTCTGCTTTAGGTCCTGTATCAAACAAACAGAATTAACAAACAATGCCAAGCAAGACTGGCGCAGAAGCTGAGATACAGAAATCAAATTACAAGCCAACGAAGGGACATAAAGAACATTGGAGAGATGAAGAGAAGAGCCCAAAGTAATGCTGCCACATTGCGTAGCAATATCATGAACTCCATTCGGCAGTCCCACAGAACAAGGAGAAATAGAATGCACATTGGATAGATAGGAGAGTGTGCCCGTCATGTGTTGGGATGCACCACTGTCGATGATCCAAGATGGGTGTAGGTAAAAGGGTGACTTAGAATCAGAAACCTTGAAGGTTTTAGGTGCGGAAGTCATGATGAAAAAAAAAAAAAAAAATGAAGGCTTGTTGATCGTCAAGCTCTTGATACCATAACAGAAGTTGCTGTCATTCGCAGCTTGATGATATATAAAATTGGGTCTATTATATAGACCAAGATTTACAATTGGTTACATCAGGAAATCAGCTAAACTTAAGGAACAGAAAGCATAAATCAAGCTAATCTATTTACATCAGGAAATCAGCTAAACTTAAGGAACAGAAAGCATAAATCAAGCTAATCTATTTACATCAGGAAATCAGCTAAAACTAAGGAACAGAAAGCATAAATCAAGCTAATCTATTTTAATATACAAGGTAACAAACCGTGATAGTTACAATCAGGATCCTAACAAATTAATGCTACTCTAACTGCTGAAGCGATTGACGTAGTCTACGCAGAATTAATAAGGCTTTTTAAAGTTTGCAGTTTAAGTATGAAATACATTTGAGCATTTTAATTATTTTAAAAGTTTGTAGCTAAGTGTGAAATACATTTGAAGTAACAATGTGTGAAATGTTTCGCTACTTGTTCATGTATTTATCTTAGCATTTGAAAGCCTTCTAAGCCATTTTAACTTTCTTTTGTACATCGTGCTTTTTGAATAACTTCACTATTACTTTCAACTCATTTGACTTAAAATACGTTATGAATGGTTCCTTGCTCCTTGGACAACCTGGATTTAAATTGCTTTTGAAGTGCATAGATTATTTAAATATAGAGATTGGACTCTGTTTTAGACTGGATTCTGTTGTAACTAAATCTTTTTGATATACTGTTGATTTTCTTTCTCTAAATCCGTCAGTGATTAACATATTTGATTTTGATTGCAGTAATGCCTTTTCGGCAATATTTAAATCAAATACTCTAATTTCATGGCTTAGAGTTAATTGATTGTCTGGTTTAATTGGTAGTAAATCCATAATACTGTATAAATAGGTTTTCCATACACCTTAATGCTACTTGAGTCTTATTCTTTTTACATGCAGTAAAGAAATGCCTATTTCAGTAGTATAAAAATATGATTCAGATTTAATAACAGCATCGAATTTATACTGCGCGCCAAGGATAAACTCTGGTTAACGTTTAAACATTTACAAGAAAATCTAAGAAATTTTTTTATATCTATGAGCATTAACATTTTTTTGTACAAATATGCATGATTAATAAATTATGGACAGTCAGATATCTTTTCTATTATGAAAATGTTTTTAAATAAATTAGAGTACAATACAATCAAAGAATTTAAGAGAGTAAAATCAAAGAATTTAAGAGAGTACAATCAAATTATTCTATCAGTCTAAATTAAAATTAAAATAATCCAAAATAAATACAGAATTAACAATATATTTATAATTTAAAATTCAAATTTAAAATTTCAAAAACTAAACTGGAGAAAAGAAATCTCAAATCCGCTAATAATGATCGTGTTCATTGTAGTTTACGAGTGACGTACTCAAACTCATGCATATCCAAATATGGATCCAAAATATACCAATTGAATACATTTGAGGCAGAAATCAACGTCCCCTAAAAATAAAAAATATATATAAGAAAAAGACGAAGTTGATATTATAATTATCAGACTTCGTCAAAAACCTTCTACGAAGTCTGATAATTTTAATATCAACTTCGTCCTTTTCTTTTAAATTTTTTTTTTAATAGACAAATTTTATTTTATTTTAGATAAAGGCTTTTAATCTGTTATCGTCTTGCAGACGATATTATCCATATTATCCTTATCTACATCTAGTATGGCGATTCTACTGGGTTAGGTTGTTACTGACAATATTCATATATATATTATTATTATAATATGTGCTTTGTAAGAAAGACTAGTATCATATTTTCTTTGTTATCAGGCGAAATTGGCCATTCTATTTAGGTTTCGTTTGGATAGATTTTTGAAAAACTATTTGTACTATTATTTTTTAGAAGGGCTTCTTTTTCCAAAAGTTATAATCATCTTATATTTGGGTGTACTATTTTGAAAGCACTTTGAGCAAAAAAAATTTTGTTTAATATTAAAATAAAAAGGCACATTTATGTATAAAATGGTTAAAGAAGATGTTCTCGGAGTGAGAACGACATTTAGCAAGTTGTTCTCGAAGTGGGAACGACGTTCAGTAAGTTGTTCCATGAGTGAAACGACATTTAGCAAATTATTCAGTGGGAACGATGTTCAGTAAATAGTTGTTCTCAAGGTGATAACAAGAACAACATTCTTGGGTAACGTCAATAGTCACTTTTGGGGCAAAAGTGTAAATTGTGAGAGTTTTGAGATAAAAATGTAATTATGCAAAAGTAATTTGAAACTTGGAAATAATGTAATAAGGAACAATTAAATCATTTTGATGAATGTTAAAATTATGATTTGATAACTAGATCATGGATTAAAAGAGGAATTAGAATGAAGAGCTAAGTTTGTAATTAGACAAAATTAGATATTTTGAAAAAAGTAACTAAAGTCAAAGATGACCATTAAGTTTTGAAGAGTGCTTAAGGCTTAAGTCACTTAAAAGCAATGTTTTAAAACTCGGATCGGTCATCGACTCGATCGAGGTACTGGATCATTGGTTCAGCTGAGATTGATCGGATTTACTATTCACATATTAAAAAAATATAAATATATTACTTATATTAAAAATTCACATAATAAAACTATCAATAAGCTTCAAAAAATAAATTGATTCTCAATGATAGCAAATATTATATATTTCTAGGTTTCTAGCTCTAGACCATATCCTAACATTGGATTAAAATTGCAATGTAAGCTAAATGCACCTTTTGTACATTGACATAACACAGATAAACTAAATCATGATAACAAATAGTAGGCATGAAATATATACTAAGGAGAAAGTGTCCATCGTTGAGATATTATATACTTCTAGGCTTCTAACTCTAAACCATATCCTAACATTGGATTAAAATTGCAATGTAAGCTAAATACACCTTTTGTGCCTTGACATAACACGAATAAACTAAATCATGGTAACAAATGGTAGGCATGAAATATACACTAAGGAGAAAGTGTTCACCGTTAAGATGAGACCATTAATGTTTATCCTCACTTAACTTCTTGAGATCATTATAAGATGCAATTAAATTACATAAAAGAACTGCACTACTCCAAAATGCCTTCTTGTTTTCACCTTCCTTTTTAATCATATTTATCACAAACTAGGATTATTTGTCTAAAGTGTTTTGTTTAAGGTATGTTTATCACAAGGGATGGCTAGGACACTTTCATTTGTATTCTGAGGACGGTGCGAGGCACTAGCAGTAATATTAGACAGCTAGTTTACACACTTTGCATGCATACATACATTCATGATTATATTGTTTATTGTTTGTTGCCTGAAGTAAACTTTGGGGTTGAGGAGCCCTACAAAGAACCTTAGTTTATTAAGATGTTTATCTCACTCCACGTTTCGGGGATCCACCTTTCAGGTATATAGATAGTGTTGAAGCATCACGTGGCAAGAGGCCATGAGAGAGTTTATTGCATGACATTATATTGTGATGATCTTTTTGATGTACATGACACAATTATGTATTTTAAGAGCATAGGAAGTAGCTGTGAACCATTTTGTATAAGCTCATGTATATTTGTTTAGAGGAACATGTATAGGGTTAATGTAATAATAACATCTGAATGTCATGATGCATTGATGTAATGATGTAAATGTTTATGTTGATAAACCATTTTGAGATATGAAATGTAAAATGGATAGCCTATGCAATGGATTTCTAGGTGAGCCAATGAGGCATGATAAATTAATGTATGTTGAATATCCATGATCAATTAGGTTTAAAATGAGCTTGGAAAAGCATCCCATCATGGTTAAATGCAACAAAGTCTTGTCAAATTTATGCTGTCAAGTATGGTCGATTTGAAATGTCCATAACTTGTTGAGTTCATAACCAAACAGGACTTAGTATATATCATTTTAAAGCCCCAAGAGTCTAGTTTATTGTCTCCAAGTTTGATAATTGTTTTGGGGTAGTGAAGCATTCCCAATTTGGGTTAGAACTAAGACTGCTAGAAGGAGCTAAAATATAAATATTGATGAGTTGTTCCGCTATCAGAGAACGAGAATGCCTTATGTTCAAGGAACAAGAACGTCTTTTGTTCCGGGATGAGACTGTCCCAAGTACAAGAAACGACCCATGTATATGTGGGAATGACTCATGGGAATGTGTTAAGGGAGAAACCCTTAAAAGGAGAAAGGAAAGGAAGATGAAGAGGAAAAGAATTCTGATATTATTCAAGATGATTCTGAAGAGTATCTCTTTACATGTATTTATACAATTCAACATTAACCAACTAATGTAACTACAAATGCTATCTGTCCATACACGTGTAAGCCATTATTATTCACATGCTTCCTAAGCTAACACGTTTCAACAACTAATACGTGTCTAAACTACTAACCACTAAGCCACATAATCAGCTAGAAGAACCGAATCCCTTCTCTCACGGTTTGATCTCCTTCGACTTGTAATATTCCCCTGCTCTTCACAAGTGACCTTGTCCTCAAGGTCAAGATTAGGATAGCAACGTTGCAAATCATCTCCCTTCTCCCAGGTGGCATCTTCAGGAACTGAGTGAGACCATTGAATTAGGAATTCACGAACTTGCTGGTTGTTAGAAGATACAACCCGTTCACTTAAGACAGCCAAAGGAACCTGTACAGGCTTGTTGTCAACAGCGAAGGAAGGCAGAGGATGGGGAGTCACTAGCTGAGTTCCTACACAAGGCTTCAACTGTGAGACATGGAAAACAGGATGAATTTGACATCCTTGTGGTAGTTTCACTTCATATGCAGCAGGCCCCATTACACGTGATACTTCAAATGGACCAAAAAATCTTTTACTGAGCTTATGATTAGCTCTTCGTTCCACAGTGACTTGACGATAAGGTTGTAAGCGGACCCATACCTGATCTCCCACTTGAAAAGATCTCTCCTTGTGGTGTTTGTCATACTGTATCTTCATCCGGTTCTGTGCTCTTTGTAAATGTAATTTTAGATGCTTCATTATATCATTGTGTTGCTGTAACATAGTATCAATGGCTTCTAGTTTTATGAGTCCCCTTGGATAAAAAGGGATCAATGTTGGTGGCTTCCCAAAGACTGCTTAATACGGTGTCATAGCTATTGCAGAATGATTAGCTGAATTATAGTGGTATTGAGCCCAAGGCAAGAATTGAGACCATAATTGTGGTTGCTCAAAACAAAACGAGCGAAGATATTGTTCCAAATATCTATTGGTCACTTCGGTTTGCCCATCCGATTGTGGATGGTAGGAAGACGTAGTCCTCAATGTGGTGCCACTTAGTTTGAATAAATGGATCCAAAATTGACTAAGAAATATACTATCTCTATCCGTCAAAATCGAACGTGGGAAACCATGTACCCGCACAATGAGGTCACAAAATAATGCAGCAACCTTAGCAGCTGTATAAGATGCAGGTAAACTACCAAAATAAGCAAACTTGGATAGCCTATCTACAACTACCAAGATGGTGGTGAATCCTTTAGAGGTTGGTAACCCAGTGATAAAGTCCATAGACAATTCTTCGAACACTCCTTCGGGTATAGGCAAAGGTTGTAACAAACCAGAGGACTTAGAGGTCTCATACTTAACTTGTTGACAAATTTGGCATTCTCTAACAAAGGATTTAACATCCTTACGCATAGTAGACCAGTAGAAGGTAGCAGAAAGTCTCAAGAAGGTTCACAAAACTCCAGCATGACCACCAAGTAAAGAAGAATGAGCCTCATTAATGAGTATAGGAATAAGAGAAGAAGAAGAGCTGAGATAATACCTGCCCTTGAAAAAAATAATTCCATCGCGAACCACAAATTCAGGATCAGAATTGGGGTTGTCCTTAAGCTGCTGATGACGTTGCAACAAGTGTGGATCTGTGGTGTTTTGATTCTGGATCTCAGTTACTATATCAAAGAGTGGCTCTGATAAAATGGTATTGAGATTTCCTTCTTCGAACTTCCTAGATAAGGCATCAGCAACAGAATTTGCCTTTCCAGGTTTATACTCAATTCGAAAAGTGTACCCCATTAACTTGCAGAGGTATTTTTACTGTTCCTCCGTGTGAATGGTTTGTGTGAGAAGCTCCTTGATACTCCTGTGGTCAGTGCGAATAACAAACTTGGAGCCTAGCAAATATTGGCGCCATCTTTTAACCGCAGCCGTTATAGCATACAACTCCCGTATATATATTGATGCATTTGCTAATCTGAAATTTAATTTTTAACTAAAATAAGAGATGGGATGCTCATGCTGGAGAAGAACAACACCTACTCCACTGCCTGATACATTAGTTTCAAGCACAAATGGATCCTCAAAATTGGGCAAACGCAACACAGGGGTTTGAGTCATGGCAGCCTTAAGTTGTGAGAAGGCTTCATCAGCTTTGGCAGACCAGGCAAATGTCTCTGATCCCCTTAAAAGTTCTGTCAAAGGAAATGCTAATGTAGCATAGCTGCGGACAAATTTTCGATAATAGCCAGTGAGGCCTAAAAATCCCCTCAACTGCTTTAGTGTTTTAGGCACAGGCCACTCCACCATAGCAGATATTTTTTTAGGATCCGCATAAACACCATTGACATCAATCACATGACCCAAATACTCCTTTTTTTGAGTGCCAAAGGAACACTTACTAAGCTTGACAAAGAAGCAATGTTGCTGTAAACAATCCAACGCTATTTCCAGATGCTGAATGTGGTCTTCCAATGATTTGCTGAACACCAGGATATCATCAAAAAATACTATGATGAATTGCCGTAGGTAAGGCTTGAATAGATGATTCATAACTGCCTGAAAAGTAGCTGGGGCATTGGTCAAGCCAAATGGCATGACTAGAAACTCAAAATGACCATCATGAGTTCTAAAGGCAGTCTTGTGAATATCAGTGGGTAACATTCTGATTTGATGGTACCCTGCCCTTAGATCCAGCTTTGTAAACACAGTGGAGCCTCCCAATTCGTCTAGGAGTTCATCAATAGTTGGAATAGGAAAACGGTCTTTAATGGTAACAGCATTGAGGGCTCTATAGTCTATACAAAGTCGCCAAGAATTATCTTGCTTCCTAACAAGTAAAACAAGAGAGGAAAATGGACTTTGTGAGTGTTGTATGAAACCAGCATTTAATAAATCAGTTACCTGCCTTTCGATTTCAGACTTCTGGCTGTGAGCATATCGATAAGGCTTGACATTAATTGGTGAGGCATTATCTGTCAAATGGATTGAGTGATCCATTCCCCTGAAAGGAGGTAGGCCACATGGTAATGAGAAGACATATTGAAATCTGACCAAAACTGGCCAAATCTCATTGGGAACTGAATCCTTCAAAGCTAATAATTCGGACCCAATAGTATCCTGCACTTGTAATTTGGTTTCAACTTGCAGAACATCACAAATTCCCCAATCGGATTGAACAGTATCTGAATCACCTCCATTTACAGAACCAAGTCTTTGGCCTTGTAAACATTTCGGTTGCCCCTCCCAAAAGAATTCCATGGACTTATGAATGTAATCATGGGTAACCTTCCCTAACTTCTCCAGCCAAGGCATGCCAAGGATGACACTTAAATCTGCCAATTCCAACACCCATAAATCACAGACAAAACAAGTACCTTGAATCATCAAAGGTACCTTCAAGCACTTTTTGTCAGAAATCATAACCTCACCATTGCCCAAATAAACACGAATTTTATGACTATGGGACATAGGTAGAGATAGTTGAATAGCCAAGTGCTTTTGTATGAAGTTGTGGGTACTCCCTGAATCCACCAGTACTGAAAACTCCATACCCTTCAAGGTAGTTAAAAACATCAGAGAACGATAATGTTGGCCATCATTCAAAGCATGTAGAGCAGCATCTCGTGATTCCCCACTTGAATTGTCTGCTTGCCATACAATGGTTTCCTCTTCAATTTCAGGATCCTGGTCAGATTCCTCTCCCACTAACAGCATCAACTTATTTTTACAGATATGCTTTGAGTTCCATCGTTCATCACAAGTATAACACAGACCCAAATCTCTATGTTTTTGCAAATCAACATGCGAAAAACGTTTTCCATGATTAGGAGCAGGAAGGGCCAAACGTTGTGTTGTGGACACAGGAAGTTGGTTGACTCCCATAGGAGTAGGAGAATGTGTAGTAACAGGTGTAGGATCAACCACCGAATTGAATCGTGTTGCAAATTTGCGTTGTGTACCCTGAAAAGAATTCTTCAACTCACCGAAATGATCATCATATGCCATAGCAAGTTGAATGGCTTGGTGCAAAGAATTGGGTTCCCGTAATTGAACCGCACCTCGAAGCTCCAATTGGAGACCCGATATGAAAAAATTCTTAAGAAGATCATAATCTAATTCAGGAGTTTGATTCACTAACGCCTCAAATTGCTGAATGAAATGGCGAAGAGAGGAGGTCTGGGTCAATTTAGATAACGCCCCTTTCGAATTGGTGAACCCAAGGATGCCAAAACGATGACGAAGAGCAGAACTGAAATCGCCCCAAGAACAAGCAGTACCTGATTTAAAGATCCATTGAAACCAGGAAGCAGCCATACCATCCATCTTCAACCCCGCCAATGGCACCTTGGTGTCTTCTGGAATCGATTGAAGAGTGAAAAAGAGTTCAGCCTTAAAGATCCAATTATTGGGGTCATTGCCATTAAACAACGGCATCTCCATCCGAATCCCTTTGAGTAAGGAACGGTTATCGGTGGAATCTGGACGCAATAGTGGCGAATTTGAAGTATTGCTATGAGGAGGGTCACGGCGAGGTGAATGGTTAGCAATCACCACCTCCTGGAGTTGTTGCATCTGATGAACCAGCAAGGAAATCTGGTTGCGGGTGTCCGTCGCTTGCATCGTTGATTGCGCACGCAATTCTTCAAATTGGGTGTCAACCCGTTGCTTGAAGGAATGAAACTCCTCCGACAATTCTTGAACCCTAGTCATAGCGTCAAGAACAGGGAGTGCAAAATGAAAGCACCAATGTTAAGGGAGAAACCCTTAAAAGGAGAAAGGAAAGGAAGATGAAGAGGAAAAGAATTCTGATATTATTCAAGATGATTCTGAAGAGTATCTCTTTACATGTATTTATACAATTCAACATTAACCAACTAATGTAACTACAAATGCTATCTGTCCATACACGTGTAAGCCATTATTATTCACATGCTTCCTAAGCTAACACGTTTCAACAACTAATACGTGTCTAAACTACTAACCACTAAGCCACATAATCAGCTAGAAGAACCGAATCCCTTCTCTCACGGTTTGATCTCCTTCGACTTGTAACAGAATGTCACATGTGTGACTACAGATTATTCTTAGCGCAGTAAAACGAGCATAACTTGAACTACAGAGCTCCAAATTGAGTGGAGTTTGGACCTATGTGAAGCTAACACATAGGGCTACAAACTTATGAAATCTTAGAGCCATTGCTTTGGGGATTGATCTCAGTTTAATTTTAAAGCCGTTGCCCTATTTGCCGGAAGTTCGTTTAGAAGTAGTTGGCTTGCGATGGGCATATCTTGAGTTATACAGATCCAATCGAAGCTTATTATATGCCGTTGAAAAGCTTAGGATATCTAGTTTAACACAGTAAAATATATAAATTTTTGGTGAGGGCTAGCAGTGCCAACTTTTGGGAAATGCAGAGGCTGTCAATGTGGTACAATACAAAGTATGTACTACATCTTTTGAGTTATGGTATTACCTATAAGAGGTTGTAGGATAAAGATTAATGCTTTAGCAATTTTGTAGACGTTATAATTATGGATTTTAATAAATTCGATACGTAAATAATTAACAAGTAGAAAAGTATGGTTAATAGAAAAGAAAATGTTTTCTGTATTTTAATCAATTACTGTTATTATAACTGCACTTAATAACATATGTGATGATAACAAACCGATCATGAACGAGGTGTTGCACATTAAAATATGTTTTACACATATCGTTTGAATAAAAATAATTATAAGCTTAATTTATCACAATCAAGTTATTATTCTAATTTTTTTATTTATTATCACGTTAACATTATTTAATTAAAATAATTTCATGAAAATCCTTATTCAATTAATTTTCCTTTTTATGAGAAAAAATAATTCCACGATATAATGTTGTGTCATTTTAGATAAAATGACGTTATTTTAATGCATAATTGATAATTTTTTAAATTCTCTTTTCTTCGTAAAGTTAGAAAGAGAGAAAATAAAAAAGAAATAATATAGAAAAAACACTAATTATGTATCAAAATAATAATATTTTATTTAAAATAACACAAAATTATTTGAGCACAAACATTTCCCCTTATTTTATACGTAGACAATGGTCTAACTTCGCCGATGCGAATCACCTTCCGCAAAATATCCTAGCATTTTGGCACCGTGTCCTTACACACAAAATTGAATTTTGCATTGTACGCCGAAAATTAAATAAACACAAAATTGTACGATCCATTAACTTTCACGAGGAAATTTTTTTTGACGCTAGTATGTGGGTTCACTGTTTTTTTTTTTTTTTTTTTTTTACAAAAATAAACAGAGCTATTTCAATATTTTAAATCTATAAAAACTTATGAGGATTACATATTCTTGTAAATAAAAATACATGCAACTACACGCTTATTATTTACGAGAAATTGCAATAAATATGTATTTTTAAATTATTGTTATTGGACTCACGCACTTATAGAATATTGATAATCAATTGTTTTTAAAATATTATAATTACTTTTCTCATAATCATTTATAATTAATTTTTTTGGTCAACATTTATAATTATTTTATTATTGTTAAACTAAAATTAAATTAATAATTCTCAAATGATATTTTTTATTGTTAATTTACTTTTTAAATAAAAATAATGAAAATAATAATAAAATATCATAAAAATAAAAAAATTATAAATATGGTGCAGATTATCTTATACCAGCGTAAAAATAATAAATGTTACACCAAATCTTAACCATTGATTTTCGTGCATCTAACGGTTAAGATTTATTAAGTCTCACTCGTTAATTAATTTTTAATTTCCAATAAATTTGAATTGTTAGATGCAGAAAATCAACAATCAAAATTTGATGTAAGATTTATTATTCTTGCACCAGTGTAAGTTGATCCTATCTTATAAATACAATTGCAGACATTTTTCTCTGTCAAACTCATATAAAAGTGAGTGGATTCTATTAATTTCTTCTCTCTCTTTTTTTCAAAATGGAACCCAATCATTTTTTTTGTAAGTGTGGCAAAAAATATATCTGTCACAAAAAGCAAAATATTTTTCCTATATAATATCTAGAAGTCATATGTTGTATTAGTAAATTACTAAATAATACTGTAAAAATTTAATGAATAATAGTTGACATAATTGATAAGAGCAAATTACCTCAATTGTTTACAGATCTTTTAAATTTTGTAAGGGATTTGTATTTATCATTTAACATGATACAACAAAGTTTTTTACACATATAACATTTGTGGGACCCACACTTATTGAAACAAAAAAAATTACAGCACGCAAAATGAATTTCTGTAATATTACACAATCACTTTTCTTACAACATAATTCTTATGAGTTATTTTTATAAAACTCATATTGTAAATAATTTCATAAACGTTACTCGATAATGCGAGAACTTGTTGAGTCGTCCACATTCTAAAATTTTTGTTTACCACTCAAGCAAAAGAAATTGTGTTATTTACTGAAGAAAAAAAAATTGAGTTTACCAAAAGAAAAAATAATGTAAAAATTATATGAGTTTGGTGTTTGTCATTTTAAATGACATAAGTTATGTCATTTTAGGAGAGAGATAGACATAGAAAAACAGAAATCATGGAAGAGAAAAAGTGGGTGGTTTTTTTTAATTTAAAATTCAAATTTTCTGTGTCTATATCTCTCTTAAAATGACATAAGTTTTTGTCGTTTAAAATGACAAACATTTTTCTCAAATTATATATAGTCCAGGCATAAAATTCAAATTCTAAAAAAGAATAATGAAACTAAGAAATAATTAATTACTATTTGCTTTGAACCAAGGGGAAGGATATCGTAACAACCAAGATGTGTTATTACCGTATTACTATCATGTTACTACCAATCAATCTTATCGTTAGATCGATTATGTTGATCCAATGATTATATTTATTTCCATTTTTGTATGATCATGATTTTTTGAATTTAAAGTGAAAGCATTAAATATGAGAAACTATTACCATAAAAAGTGGAAGCATTAAATATGATAAATCATAACCATATAAAAGTGAAAATAAATAAAGTATTAAATTTGGAAAATCATGATCATACAAAGATAGAAATAAATATAATCATTGGATCAACATAATCAATCTAACGGTGAAATTGATTGATAGTAACATGGTAGTAACATGATAGTAACACAACTTAGTTGTTACAATATTTTTCCCCTTTGGTAATTTACACCAAAATGAAAACCATTTTCGAAAATTAAAAAGAATTGACACGTGCTATGCCGTGGTTATCCCACGCGTGACTCAACTATTATTCATAACTTTGGATAAACTTATATACTAAGCGAACCATTTGGGTCAGATAGCATGTTGTTTCAATCGCGTCAGTGATCGGATAATGGGTGGCGGAGGAGCTATGAGGACGGCGGCGAAGATCGCCGGTGTCGGCGTCCCTACCCAGGGGTTAAGGGGCGCGCCGGTGGTGCACTCGATCGAGCAGTCGGTCTGGAACTCTTCACGACCCGTGTCGGGTGCAGGGGTGTCGGCGAAAGCCGCTGAGGTGGCGCCGCTGCACACGGTGGCGTCATGGGACTTGGACGAATGGGATTTCGCCGACGGCGGTGATTTGGTCATGGAGGCCGGTGAGCCCACGCCGAGAGTGGTGTTTGGCGCTGTCCCCACCTTTCAGGAAGCGAAGGAAGCAACCACCGAATTGAAGGAAGCAATTGATCAGTATATTGCTTTTTTCTTTTCCCCTTTATATTGAAAGTTTCAATTTTTATTTTGTTGTTGAGATTTCAATTTCAATTTTGAAGTCTTCGTTTTGATTCTACTGTTTTCAGTACTGGGTTTTTCTAAAGATTTCATTTTTATGGTGTTGTGAGATTTTTTTGGTTGATACTAGTTAAAGGGTTTTAGATGAGTTTCAATAGGTAGGAAATTTCAAACTACCACTTTTTTTCTACTGCCACTGCCACTTTAATCACCATTTTCTCTCTCTTCGTTCAACTTTTCTATTTCTCTAATTCAATGCTGATTAAAATGGCAGTGGGGTGATACTAGAAAAAAGTAATAGTATGAATATCCTACCCAAGTTTCAATAGCATCCACTGGCACACTATATCAGTATAAAATAAAGTGAGTTTTTTTTTTTTTTTTTTGGAAACTTATTTCTTATTGAAAATGAACTCTCTCTGTTTCAATTGTGATCGATGTTAGTTACACAGAAGGGATATTCTGGGAGCTTTTTCTTTTAACCATCAGCATTTTTGTTTTTCTGTGTGTTTCACTTAAGAAATGTGAATTATGTAAAGTGTGGTTGTGGTTTTAGTCAATTATTTGTGAATACATTATCATAGTTTTAAAACTATACATTTTTTTTTTGGAGATATATCACTCTGACTTCTACAGAGTTCGCAGTAAACATCATGATTTCTTTAGTATCCTAGTTTTATTATATGAAGAGTGAGATGAAAATATTTTTTTATGAAGTCAAGGAAAAGAAATTGGTTTTTGTGTTGCTCTTTTTCATCTATGTAGACTATGCTAATCATTATTATTCCTTTTTTTTGTTAGAAGAGTAAGTTTGAGCATAATGATAATATGAATGGATGGAATTGAAGGCGTATAATCTCGCTGATTGTTTTTGGTTATATTAGGGAATAGCTTATCGCTTTGTTGAGTGTTGGCTTTGATGGTGCACATTGTAATAAATATATGTTAGGATACTTGTTTTTTGTCAAATGTGGGATCTGTTTACTCCGAAGAACATCTTCCCTTATATTCCTCTTTTTAAATCTTTTAGCTTATTTTATCCTTGTTTCTAAAGATATGATTATCTCAATAATTTTGAATAATGTTGAAGGTATTGCTTTTGGGAAGTGTTGGAAATTGACTTATTCACTGTCTGTCAGTTCAATCTGAGTATTTAATTTTGGTCATGTAGAAGTCATTGCTTTCTGAAATCAGATTTTTTGAATTCCCTTTCTTGGGTGCAGGGTGCTATTATGGTAAACAATGGTTATGTTTTATCTATTTTGAACCTTACTGCATTTTTCTGGTGCAGGACATTTGCTCAACACACACTCACTTGTTGTGGATTATCTTAGATCTTATGATACTCATCTCTATACTAAGATCATATGTATTGTTTTTCAGAATTTACCTTTCTCCTGATTCTTCTCGATGTGAGGGCTCATCTCCTGGTAGTGAAGTCTCTGTTATGTCTCCTACTCTTTTCGAGCCAGGGACCAAATCTCGTGTCATTGAGGCCATTTCAAATCCGTCATTGCCAAATCATGCCTTTCAGGCTTTTCAATTGCTTAGTAATAGTTATGAGGCCCAGGTACATGGTGATGTTTTTTTTTTTTTTTTGATAACAACATGGTGATGTTTTATGTCCTAATGAGAACTACTCAATAGCATATGTGTCTTTTTAACATTCCTGTTGTATAAGGCTCCCCGACTTGTGATGATGGTTGATTATACGCAGCCTTATACTTTCATTTTTTAAAAAGAGTCTGTTTCTCAGACTCAAATCCTATTCTGTGCAATATCCAAAATTATTTATTAAATCAGTACTTGGAGTGATTTATTGATTTAATGGGATTCACTTGTCTTTGGTTTCAACCAGACTGTTGTGGCTTCGATTGCTTGTGACCCGAATGTATGGAAAGCAGTCATGGAAAATCCTGCAGTCAATAATTTCTTCCAATCACAGCAGACAGGTAATCATTATTTAATAGATCTCTTATTTTTCATGCCCTTCCATTACTTTTCTTATTTGCGTGCTGGATGTTAATGCTAATTGTGCTGCAGTGGAAGAGTTAACAAATTGTGATGCAGTTGCTGGTTCTGAAGCATTGGAAACTCCTGAAAAAGAGGAAGCTGAGTCAAACCCGGGAAATGGTCTTTTTGATTTCGTGGGTGACATTCTGCAGAATTTTAAGCTTACAGTTACTGAAATGGTAAGCAGATTGTCAAATTACCTTCAGAGCATATTCCCAACACCTGAGAAAGAGAAACCAGATGCTGATGCTGATGGAAATGCAAAAGCGAATTTCCTGGATAATAAGAATTTAATGGGAGGTACCTTCATGGGATTGGCAGTGATTGTGATAATGGTGGTACTGGTGAGGAGGGCTTAAACTTTTATATTTAAAATGATAATTTGTCGAGCTTTCTTATCGTTTTAAAAGTTTGTAGTAAAATATGAAATACAACCTATCCCAGTGGGGATAAAGTTGATGGTGGTGGTGATGATAATTATGTTGATGTAGTTAAATACATTTGGAGTAACATATGAATTGTTTGTCTCCTCGTTTATGTATTTCTCTTAACATCCGAAAGTCAGCCCACATGTTTATTTGTTTGTTTCATTTTATTTTTATAAATTTGTGTTATTACTTTGTACTTTTTGAATAACTTCATCCTTATTTTATAGCTTCATGATAAAGTTTGAAAAATTTGTTATGTCAACCAACAAAAAAAGTTATTTCCGCAAATTTAAGCTGAAGGAAACGTGCATGAATTTCACTGTTCCCATAATTAAATAGCTTTTCAAGGCCTTGCCTTAGCAAAATTTCTAAAGTTGGCGGGGTGGTTCACACTTTCATGGGGGGGGATAGGAAATTGGTTTTAATCAAAATAAAATATGAGTTATGCTTTGTCCCTTGATTTAAGGGACTGTTTTAAATGTTTGTCATGGATCAATTTGAACATGTTATCTATTTCTTGTGGGGCATACCTCTGTACCTGGGCGAAAAGATAGGTGACGGTGGTTCAATATATCATTCATACTACAAAACAAGCAAGGAGTGGTTGAGTGCATGTACTACTGAATCTTCATTTGATGCGACAAATTAACACGGGTTCACAGAAATTTCTTCTTTGCTTTGAAATTTAAACTCCTGATTGCAGTGCATCATTTTCACTTTAATATTCAATAGTGGCCTCATTGACTTGTAACTTGCTTGTGGAATGGCTTTTCAAGCTCTTTCAAGAATAGTCCCTTCGTTTACCATTTGGCTTGTGCTGGCATTTTTTTTTCTTTATTCAGCATCAATGAAAATTCCAGAACAATAGAAGATATTTGAGTTCTAAACAATTCGAGTGTATCAAACCGAAACAAACCAAACTGTGACGTGGCACAAAAATTAAGTCTCCATTACCGGATTAACCTCCAAGTTTAATCTCAACCGTTTGGTGTAGTAAACGTCTAGTGTAGGTATGTTTTTGTGTGTGTGTAGTTCATACGTCTTGTTAGGAGTGTAAATGTTAGGAGTGTAAATGGACTAAGTCGGCCTATAGAGACCTATGACCTATTCTATATTAGGTCATACTTAACCTATTAAATATAGTCAAATAGAGCATGTTTAGACTTTTAAAAAAGTCTATTTAAAAAATAGGTCATAAACTTTCTTTTATATGTTGGGCCTATAAGTTTACAGGCCAGCCTATATTATATTATCTATTTTAAATAAAATTATTATTTTAATAATTTTGAATAATAAAGTAATATTATTTTAATTATTTTTTTAATTGTTGAATATTTAATATGTTTAAACAGGCTAATATGCCTAGCCTAAAGTTTTTGTTTTTTAAATATAGTACTTATAATTTGGACCTAAATAAGACTAACATGTCATGTTAGGCATAAAATATTTTAAAAAGACCTAAGTGTTATTTAAATCAAGACTTAACCTAGTCTAACCTATTTACACGTATACTCTGGTGTATGTTTTAGAATGGAGAAGCTCTCTAATCCGGTGTGATGGAATACACAAGTGTGCTAAACTTAATACTACCTAAACAACTTTTTACTCGTACGAAAACTTTGTACTCATGTACAATTATAGTTGTTTCTGGATCTATGAAAGATTATAAAAAAAAATTTCAGTACCAATTGATGATTGTGTGCATTTCAATTTACGAGTGGTGTACTCAAATGGAAACAGTGACCATTTTGTCACTGCTGGCAAAAAAATTTACTAGACTGCCACGTCAATAGTAAATTTTGCCAAAATGTCACATGACATATTTCGCTACACTGTGTAGTGAAATGTGTTCAAATAATTCACTACAAGTGTAGCGAAATATGTCACGTCAGAACCAAAAATGTCACGTGTCAAACAGGGAGAATTTCGCTACACTGTGTAGCGAAATTCTCCCTGTTTGACACATGACATTTTTGGTTCTGTGCATTCTGACGTGACATATTTCGCTACACTGTATACGAATTATTTGCACACATATTTCGCTACAGCAAAATATGCCACGTAGCAATTTGAAAAAAATTACTGTTGACGTGACAGTTTAGTAATTTTTTTTGCCAACAGTGACACTTTGGTCACTGTTCCCTCAAACTGTTGCATATCCAATATTGATCCAATACGATCCATATGGCAATTAAATACATGTGAAGAAGAAAGCCTTATATATGATATACCCTCTATAAAAAGATAATTTTAAAAAGGAAAAGGGTAAGTTTGTTCATATAAGAGCATACTGGTCAAAACCTGCCATATGATATTTTAAGCTGTTATCCTTGTACATATGTTATTCTTATCTACATCACCTGTGTATTCTAGTCCCCTTGTCTCCTACTCTTTGCACAATAATTCATCAACGTACACCAAAGTTCTCAACAAAAACTGGGTTAGATTGATAAATTTGAGACACAGAAAGACACGTGAGAGGCGCAGTGTGTCACCTGATGCAGGAAAAGATGGGTGACTGTTTTGCAAATTTGAAGTTGAACCATCACCAACTAGGAAGTGATCATCATGACCTAGTTATGGAGTGCCAAGAGTGAGATTTTTCAGATCATTGGCAACATGAAGGGTGACGCGGGTGGGTATCCATGATGAAAGAAGATATTTTTCTAATGTCAATGATTCAATATGTTGCATTCTTCAAAATGGATAGATGAAAGAAAGTAAAAACAAAAGCCAGTGGATCCATCATCCAGTCTGTATTCACTAATATTATCATCTGCTATGGAAGAAAATATTGGAATTAGTACGTTTGTAAAAGTTGAATCTCCTTAAGTCTTGTCAAGAAGGTAACAAATTCTGAGGCAGAAAATTGTTTAAATTATTTATTGTGGACCTACAAAATTCAACGTGTATCATGCAGCGAATTTTTTTTGCTGGAGATCAAGGTTGTGAGATCAATTATATTGGCACATGGCAATGCAGGACATTCCATGCCTGCGCTATTTGATCGCCATTCTTGAAAATCTAGGCACTGGTTGTTTTATTCATGTTAATCACTGCTAATATACATTATATCTTCCTCTGAAATATGCATCAACCCTCGGTCTCTTTTGCCAGTCACTTGGTTTTTGTCTGGTTGACCTCGCTGTAAGTAACAAGAAAAACCAATTTCAACTATTTTGTAACAATTTTTAACGAACAAGAAGTTGACAATGTTGGCATTATCAATGTGAACAAGCCAACTCAAGTGTTTTTTGCTACTAACCTTTCTCAATACAAATGACATGTATAAATGTGCTGCTTCCCATTCATCGGCTGAGAGTGTACCTGGTGTAGAAATATATCATTAGGATTCTGTTGAAGAAAGATATTATTCTCCCATATTGAATTTTAACAGATTCCTGTTAACTAGGAAAGGTAAAAAAAAAAAAAAAACAAAGGGTTTCCCCATATAAAGACAGAAAAGTAATGTTCAAAGAAATTTTATGGAAATTGAAAAGAAGATGGCATAGGCATAAAGGCTTACTCTGATCTTGGTTCCCATCCCCCAATGCACCAAGTCTTCGCATTAACTCCACAAATTCCGGTTTTTTCATGTACTCATGCACAAATTCGTGAGAGTTCTTCGCGAAAACAAGCTCAAAGTCATACTGTGAACAATTAATTTAAATGAGTAGTCTAGAAGAACAAGTCTTTGCAATTCCAATGCTTACCCTAAGAAAGCTAGAAACTTTCATTTTAATAGTCAGGGGCAGATGGGGGAGGATGGGTCTCGGTAAAATTTGGCAGTTTCATAGATAACATACCTCTTCAGCTAATGACTTGAACACGTGGAAGGGGACAATCCATTCAGGACAATCAACAGCATCCTGCAACAAGAGGTCTCGTCTTAAACGGCAGCATAAGTATTAACAGTATGCAAGAGTTGAAGGGCTCTGAATGAGAGAAACGTGTCATCGAATGATAACACTTATTATGCAAAGGCTCTCTACGTCTGTGCATACAACAACCCTTACATCTCAATGTCTCATACTAGTCTGAAATGTAAACTCCAACTCAGCCTTGTGTTATGGAAAACAGTAATTTGATGTTTAGAAAAAGGAGAAGATTTAAAAGAGATTATACCTCCAAATGGAATGTGTACTTTATTCCAAAGGGGCTGGAAGATTTAAATTTCTGAATCACACGGGAGAATTTCAGTTAAGTACAATTCACAAAATCATATCCAAGCTAATACAGATTCCACCCATTAAAAAAATGGTGAAGCAACAGGATCAGGAGAACAAAATTACCTTATCAGAAAATTCTTCATCAAAACGCACCCAGTAGACACTGTTACCAAAAGCCAATCCTTCAGCTGCACATTAACAGTGAAATATAGCATCTCCAATCAAGAATTACAAAAATGGTCTGCCATAGCTATCTGTGAAGCCTATGTTCATGCAATTTACTTTTTGTATAAATTCAATTGAATTTAGAAAATCTCACAAGCATCATGAAAAGAGAGTAAATGTATAAGGAGCTATTTGTGGAATAGATCATTTCTTTTCTTGTAGATAGCACCAACTGAATTCCACAATAGACGTCATATGAAAATATAATAAGTGGAATAGCATATTAAAAAAACTAGTCTTCTATTTGCCTTGACACCATTCACATAGCAAAGACCAAATCTCTACATATACTATTGTTTTGATTAAAATTATTTCCTTGAATATAAAGCAAGCTGTAGTAAACTAAGTCTTAATAAAAAGAGTTATAAATTTCCATCAAATTTATTTTGAAACAACCACCACCATGCCTTATCTCACTGGATGAGATTGGCTGCATGAATCAATTGATGACACAGGACTTTAACAACAAATTAATTTTAAAAGAATAATAATAAGAATATTAGGTGCATCAAAAACCTTCTCTAAGTTTTTTGATAATCACATTGGCATCTGGCATAGTTCCAATGAAAATGCCTCCTGGACGAAGTAAAGCTGACACATTAGCTAATGCTTGCCGGGCACGGGCCTCTGTAGACCAGGAGTAATGCAACGCAAACTGCAGCATTTAAAAAGTTTATCAGATTAGAAACCAACATACACTTTCAAGATGGAAAGAAGTTTGTAATTTGTATGGGGAGAGATTAAAGAGTGTAAACAGTATGACGATTGACTTGTACCAACTAAAGACTGCAGCAATTTTGCTGATTGAAGAAAAAAAATGGCAGTCATCATGAATATAAATGATACACATATCACTAAATTAATTTAATTTGTATTAGGGCAATGGTAGTAGAACAAGGACTTTGCAAGAACAAAGTTAGATGCCAATTAAATCAACATATTAAGTACAATCAAAGAAAAACATAAGAAATTTTAACAAGAATATATGGACCAAAAGTTTATGCAAAAAACAAGGTAGTTACCATGGAGAGGTCTCTTTTAAAGATATTACATTTTCTAGCAGCACACATCCACTTCTCTTTCTGTATAAATACATGGATGATTTATAATTAACTCAAGAGTGCATCATTCACCTGACAACTACAAATATCAAAAGGAGCATCATCTGCAAGAACTTTGTCCAAGCGAACCTGAAATTGTCAATGAAACCTATTTTCAACATCTAAACAAGAAAAACAGAAATTGGTATGGAAGTTGAAGATTACAAGATCACTTTCTCTAAAGGAATTTAACTATAATTTCTTTTTAATTTACTTGATCAAGAACTATTCTGTCAGGTTCTATCAATATATGCAATTCAGTAAACCACTCTAATCAACTCATGCCAACAACATATTATTTTATCATCTTAAAATGAGATAAGAGATAAATTTAAAAGAATAAAAACAAAATTTAAGCTGGAATCAGTTGTAATAAAGTTCAGGTTTTAAAATTATTGTGCCAAGTGGTATGGAAGTATAGTATGCTAGCCAGAATAAAAACAGCAACAAAAAGATAAAGAGAAAAAGATATTAACAAGACATATAAGTTATATGTTCCAAAAGCTTCTACTTCAACTTTGCTAAAGTACAACTGTGGTCAGTTTGAATTGAGTGACTTTTGGGGGAATCAGGAATGAATATGAAGGAAAGGGAAAAGGTTGGGACTCTAATATTGCATCTATTTTCATATATCTTCCCACTTTCATTTCTTCAATTTTCATTCCCTTCTCAATTTGTTCCCTAACAAACCATTAATGTCTGTAAGAATAAACAGAGTTGAAACATGAAGTGCACTTCAAAATATTAGTTAAACTCTTATTTTTGGGATCTAATGAAGTTCTCAAGCATAAAGCAAAGAATTTTTTTTTTTTCAAAGGACAGAAATGTTAATCACCTCATAACAATCTCCACATATGAGGCGAGCAGGAAATGTAAACTTTTTACGTCGCTGATGATGATCAGCATCACCATTGTAACGTGTACGGCAGTCTTTGATCTGGAAAGATTGTTGAATTCAATGAACAGACAGTGAGGACTACAAACACATGAATTAATTGTTGTCTAGAGATGACTTCAATGATCGTGTTAAAAAGCCTTATTCAACTCCATCTCAGTTTGATTTGATGGAAGTGATTATGGAAACAATCAGATAAGGAAAACCAGTTCAGAGAATTGTAGAAAATTTTAACACTTACCGACCCTTCAGCAATATCAATGCCAACATAATATCCAATTTTGGCCTTGTCCCATTTGATAAGATCACCACCCTGGCGAACAATTATGAAATAAAAAAATATGCTTAGCCAATAAACTGGGAATGACATGTAATATATAAACAACTGAAAACCGTTAACACCTTGCCACAGGCGAGGTCAAGTACTGCATCTCCTCGACGAGCATAAAGCTGAATTAAGACGCTCTTAATCTGTTAAATAACAGAATTGACAAGGCTATTAATCAACAAAATGTAAAACTCTGGTGGTTACATTTCCTATAATATAAATTACAGAATACAACACATACCCAGTTATTGAGTTTCTTCAAATGAATTATCGGACTAGCCTCCCGTTCTTCCAGAGTCTGGTTGGATCTTGCACTGTAATGATCAGCTACTTTCCGAGCAAAAATCTTCGTACTTTCATCCTCCAGAAAGTGTGCATCACCTGAACACAATGCATCAAATGAAAATAAGAAGGAGAACCACAACTCCACATCAGTTTTCCACAAGAAAAGCAAGGAAATAGGAAAGAAAAATACACAATTACACATGCTAGCAACTTGGATTACTCATCATACAGTTACAAGAAGTAGAAAGCCTCTACTTTTTTTTCTTTACTTTCCACAATTGAATCATACAAACCCACAACACACAGGAACTTACTATCACAAAATTAGCCTAAACTTTCATTTACATTCAATTGTTGATTCAGCAATGTCCAATGCAATATTTTTCATCAAATATGCTAGCAAATATGATTATTCATTACACAGTCAAGAAGAAGAAAACCACTTTACTTTCCAAACTGTAACTTAGTATTACAAAATTAGAGTGCACATTCAATTACATTTTATTAGTGATTATTAACTCAGTATTCCAGACCAAACCAACGTCCAATACAAAAGCTCAAAAGTTTCCCCTCTTTCCCTTCTACCTTTCCGTTTGAGTATGGGCAACCAAACGAAGCCTAGAGCAAAACCAAGGAGACCCAGATCCACATACCGCAAAAATCACCCTTCAAATGGGGAAATCGAAACAAGGGAGCAAGTGGGGTGGTGCAAAAAGCGTTAAAAAAGTTACCTTCAGGATCATATCTAGCTTTGGATTGAGGTGGAGCGAAAGAGGTTGAAGGAGATTCCTCGTATCCACGTTTCATGGGGACCGATGAAGAATAACAATTACGATAACAACCTAATAGTGCTGCAAGAAGCGTTGGTAGTGTCAGAGAGACAATCAAATGTGTTCCCAAGTTTTTTTTTGTTAATTTGTCTTTTTTGCAGAAAACTAGGAGAGATAATTCGGGTGTTGTTTTATGTTGTGTTGTGTTGTTTTTGTGTCTGAGGGGTTTGTTTGATTAGGGAGAAGAGGGAGAAGTGAGGACAGATATGAAACTGAAAGTGCAATTTAGTGCAGAGAGCATCGTAAATTGGTGTCTGTGGAAGGATTTATAGGTGCTATGGAGAAGGCGGAGTGGACCTAACAGTATAACACCTTGCGATTTGTGATTGGTGGATACCAAATTAGGATGATGCTCTGCGTGACATCTGATTTTGAAAATGGGCTTTATTGTTCTTCTCAAATTTGTTTTATAGTTCAATGGGCCGAAAACCTCTTATTTTGCGGGATAAATAACTTGTGATTTGTTTTTTTTTTATGGAAAAAGTGTGTATTGATGTAAAGTTGTATCATTTAACTAAGAGAAAGAGATAAATAAAGGAGAAAAGAGCGTACATAAAAAAAGTTGTGGGTCCTACCTTTTTTGTGAGAGTGAAAAGATATAAACTTTTTCCATTTTTTATATTATTCCTAATTATCTCTTTTAAGTAGCATTCAAGTATTTTTACAAACTTTAATTCTTTAAGTTAATTACGTGATTAATCTTAAATCAGAGCTTAGTTATAATATTTAATAGGAATCGAAATTCACATACTCGGCCTATGTTATTAATCTTTTTTGGTTTTTACTTTTTAGGTTAAATGGACCTAACACCTTGTTTTATATTTTTTTTAATTTTTTCAATTTTTAGGATAATTTTTAATAAGAATATAGGAAATATTTTCTTACACGGGGCTAATTAATATGGTTATGTACTTGTGTCTGCCATCAAAGGGAAAATTATCTCACTTAATAAAGTAAGAGAGAGGTTATACTTATTACGTTTATTTTTTATTACCAAATTTTAACAGTTAATTATCTCAGTTAATAAAGTTAAAGAGAAGTTATATTTATTACTCTCTTTTTACTATCAAATTTTAACTATTGATTTTTGTCAATTTAACAAAGTTATTAATTAATTATTAATTTTCAATAAATTATAACTATTAAATTGACAAAACTATTAAAATTTAGTAGTAAAAAATTATAAAAGTAAAACTCCTAAAATATACTTACTTGGCCTGCCGCTATGGGGTGTTTGGTAGGAGGAAAAAAATTGACTGAGAAAAGAGGGTAGGTAAAAATATATGGCCATGTTTGGTAGAAGGAAGAGTTAAAAGGGGTTGGACACAATTTTTTCCCATCTAATTTTTTTACACATGGACCAAGAGTAAAATTTAGTAATGGATAGGGTGGAAAAAAAATTTACCTTTGCGGTGGTAAAATTTTACACATAAAATTAGTAAAATTCATCCAATTTTTCCGAAAAAATTTTGGCCTACCAAATACATTTTTTAACTTATCCGGCAAAAAATTCTTTCCAACATATTTTGAGCAAATTTTTGTTCCTGGTAAAAAAAAAATTTCCTATACTAAATGCCTCCCAAAAACCCTTCAAAGTTGTCGTATATAGATAAAGGAAAAATTTCAAAGAGATCCTGCATTTAGGAGATCAGAAAACCAAAAGAAAAATGATAAACAAATGCAGACACAGACACACGCAAACAAAAGCGAAAGAGCTTTTACATTTAAGGTGCAAAATTTAGGTGTCTTGAACCTTTTTTTTTTGGTGAAATTCAGATTTGGACGTTTATTACAGTACTGATATCAGAGAATTGAAGAAGCAAATAAAAAAGCAATGAGAGGCTCAAACTTATATTTTAAGGGTATGATGTTTGTCATTTTAAATGATATAAGTTATGTCATTTTAGGAGAGAGATAGACACAAAGAATAAAAATTATGGGGGAGAAAGTGAGTATTTTTTTAAATTTAAATTTGAAATAAAAAAATATTATTGTATGTCTATCTCTCCCTTAGAATGACATAATTTTATGTCATTTAAAATGACAAACATTTTTTCCATATTTTAAATATGCAAAATGTCCTTTATTAACTGTTTCTAAGAATTTCCTATTTATACTTCATTATTAAACTTTAATTTTTTTAGTGTTTTAATTATTTATTTATTTTAATAATAATTCTTAGTTATATTTTAATTCAATTTTTTTTTACACTTTTAGTAAATTATATGAATAATGTTATGTATAACTAAAATATGTTTATACCAAAAACAAAAAAGAGGTTATAGTTACTACCTCTTTTTCTTACTACTTCTTATTACTAAATCTTAATCGTTGATTTCCGTCAATCTAACGGTTGTAATTTATTGGGTCATATTTATTAATTAAATATTAATTTCTAATAAATTATAACCGTTAGATTGACGGAAATCAACGATTAAAATTTGGTAGTAAGAGGTAGTAAGAGAAAGAAGTAGTAAATATAATCTTTCCAAAAAAATAAAATAAAAATTGCTTAATTCGCTTAAGGGTTGATTCCACTTTGCTCAAAGGATTTCGATCATAATGATTGCGAGTCTCATTTGCGCTTCTCCGCGAGTCACTCCTGTTTGTAGGGAAAGTTTTGGCTGATTGGTTATGCACTGATGCCCACAGTAAAAAAAATGCCATAGATTGGTTATATTAATCACCTTGCAGATATGCCATAGATTGTCGTTGTGTTGAAGTTGGTGATTGTGTATATTGAAGAAGAGAAAAGCGGAAAAGAGGAAGTCTCCCAAAGAGGTAAGCTTTCGATCAGTGTGGTTAATCCCCCCATTTGTTCCACCAGACTCCGAGGGACAATGGCGGACCAGAAAAACATTTTCTGCACACTTAGGGCGGGGGTTCGGGGGCACCACCCCTGATTTTTTTTTTAAAAAAAGATCATGATCCAATTTTTGCTTCCACTTCAAAGGTAAAGCTTTGGTGAATCAACCAAAGTTTTAAGGAAATAATAGATAATGATAATTAAAAAATAAATAACACTACAAAAAGACATTTGTGAAATATAGTATAATTGTAGGGGTTAATAGATCAAAACCCACATATCTATTCGATCCAAAGTTGACCACTTTTGTTTCACAAAAGATCGTGAAAATTTTAGTGTGATTCTCCTCCACTATATAGGTTAGGTAAAAGCGCGTACCGGAAAGGTACTGCGAAAAATAAAATAAAAATATGAAAAATCTTAGAAAAATGGCTAGGTTCAGAATCCTAAGTTTGGAATTAAAATGTTAAGCGTAGCTATTACTGTTAATACTGTGTGCATAAGACTTAAACCACTATAAATACTCATTTTGCACAAAATCCTAGGCCATATTGGCTTCCTACGTGTGTTGCTCAGCTGCTGAGTGCCTCCCCATTGCTGTCACATTCTTCCTCTCCACCTTGTGAGCCAAGAGGGCACCTTTCCTCTTGGTTTCTTCATCAAATCTCATAGTGTGAGTGTGCATTAGACTTGTGAGGTGAGAGGTAGCCATTTGCTGAGTGCTCAGCCTCTGTTTGTTGGAGTGTGTGGGCTGACTTCATGGTGGGAGTTGAGGGAACCATTGTGGTGGCATTTTGAGCTTCAAGAAGCTATCGTGACCAATACCCCAGTTGGTCCTATACATGTGACCTGCTATCAGGAAAAGAACTGCAATAGCTAAATGATGGTGTGCAATATCGGTCAACCATAGACCGCCAGTTATGGGAGCAACTTTTAAGTGAAATCGAAATACAATACACCGTATTGCACAAAAAAAATTATTTCAAAACTTTTAACAAGATTTATGTTATGAAAAAAATATGAAAAAAAGAATTGTTTTTTTATAACTATTTGAACATTGTGGTGTGCCATTCTTGTGCACCTTCAAAGTCAGAACCTTTGGAGCTGATTGAGAGCTTCAAGAGCCACCTTGCTTCTGTTTTGACCCTTGGGTAAGCTTCACCAACCTTGATCATGAGTTTTCTTGGTTAAAAATGAAGCCTTGACATGTTTAATAAGAGGAACAAGTAACCAATGTGATAACTGACCTAAAAGGGTTTAAAGATGCATACTTTAACATTCTAATGTGTTAAAAATGGAACCTTGGGAGTGATATCTCGCGAAATGCAGAAACTGCATTCTGTCGCGAAATATCCGGATATGATATCCGGATATTGATATCCGGATATGAGGTCTTGTGATATCCGAATATGGATATTCGGATATGGATATCCGGATATGATATCCGGATATGTCCCTGACATATATTCGGATATTCTGAGAATTTCGAGAGAGTAGCTGTACTGTTCATACAGAATGGGATTTTGGGTTTGTGGACCCATGATTGGTTAATGTGGACTTCTGTAATAATTAATCTAAGTCAGAATCAAAGTGATTAAGGGGCTTATGGCTTTGTGAGAAGCCTAAAGGCATGAAACGTAAAAGGAAAGCGTTGTCTTTATGTCATATACTTGTGGAGTATGATTGTTGATATGATTGCTGGTGTAAAACAGATTGTGATTCTGCTGTTTGTGGACTTTAAGCTTGTTGGATTCTTATTTGGATAGTTAGCTTAAGAGGTAAGCTTTTGTGTCCTCAGTTTAGCCATTGTTGGTTCCACCATACCCCATGGAGGAATGATTTATATGCATGATGTAATTCCCTATGATATGTATGTGATGTTTCGCCTAACGGGAATATGATCTTGTGGGCAGGTACGGCATGGGCGTGTACTATTGTGGGTTGTAGACGTACGTACATCCTGCATTCCTCTGGCTAGTAGAATAGTTAACTCATATGACATGACACTGATTTTGGAACTTATATGATATTACTGCTTTTGAACTTATATTGCACATGTAAGTGAGCTTGGGGTGGAGAAATCCTTGAGGACCTCTTGCCTTACTGAGATTTCTGTTTAGAGATCTCACCCCACGTTTGGGGCACATATTTCAAGTTCAGGTAACTCGGGGGTTGAGACCTCGGGCGGCAGGAGGCCGGAGCTGAGTTAGACATTGCTTCTTTTATTGTTATAATTGGATGCTGGCATGTTTTCTGCTATCTTTAGGATTATGTTGCTATTGTTGAGACTCTGTTGGGCTTGTTGCCTTATTTGGTGAGCATGGAGTTGTCCATGCCACATTGATTGACTATGTCTTATTTTGAGTTTGAGTTGTATTAATGTATCAGGATTATGTCTAGACTACGTGTTGTAGATCCGTGACTTAGATACTCACCTTTATTTATATATTGAGGTTATTCAGTGTAGATAGTTGTTTATTTACAATTACATACAGGCAATATTTTGAAAGTGATTTAAGTAATCAACTTGGTAATTGATAATGACGTCATAATTGAAAAGAAAAAGATATTCCGCATTTTTAATTAAGCGTGGCTTAATACGATGACATGATAACAAACCGGGTATACACGGGGTGTTACAACTTGTTTGGGAGTTATTTTTAGTAGGGGTGAAAGTAGGTAAGGCCGACCTGCAGGGACCTACGGCTCGGCCTACGTCAGTCTAGATCTGACCTAGTATATTTCGTAAAATAGGCCGGGTTTGGGCCTTGAATATATTTCTGACTTTATTTCTTATGTAGGAGGAACTAACATCTTAGCATGTTAGATTGCGTATATGAATATATTAAAAGGTTTTTGGGAGAGGTTATACTTACTACAAGCATCATGATGTGTTTATTGGATCATGTAAGTTATTTTAATTTACATAGTATGGATTTGTTTGTTGGATCTCATGAAATATATGTTATTTAGTTTGAGCATTTTGCTTTTGAAAGTGACTTAAATGCAGATTGTGATGAGTTTTGTTGGGATTCTTGATTCTGTTTGGACGTTGAAATTTTGATTTTTGGTTTAGCAACAAAATTTGAGTATCCTGTGAAGTTAATTCATGGTTCTGCTTCGAAGTTAAAAATTAAACAGGCTAACAGGTCAGGCCAGACCATTTTATTTTATAAACAGGTCAAGCCAAGCTAACAGTTAGACTCGTACTAGACTTGGGTCAGGCCAAATTAAAATTTTTTTACATAGGCTTGGGCTTTTTGAGGCAAAGCTTAATCCAGCCCAACCCACTTTCACCCCTAAGTTTTATGAGAGAAAAGAAAGGAAGAGAAGAGTTTTATTAATCCATTCCCTTATTTGTGAGTTTAAAAAAGTGAGAGAAAAGACTCGTGGATTTTCACGAAACCCTCCTTGTTATTAAAATTAAAATTACCTCAATTTGGGGGGAGTTTTAACTTCCAAACAAAGGAAAGAAATGCCCTTTATTTCCCTTCCTTTCCCTTGAATTTCTTTCCTTTTCTTCTCCTCCAAATTCCCAAAGAAAGCCTTAAAGTTGTTAGCATCATTACAATTTTTCACTCCTTTGTTGGTGTCATTTTCATTCATTAATTTTCAAAGAACTTTACAATTACAAACAAATCAATTCAAAGTTGTTAGGATCATTACAATTTTTCACTCCTTTGTTGGTGTCATTTTCATTCATTAATTTTCAAAGAACTTTACAATTACAAACAAATCAATTCAAAGTTGTTAGGATCATTACAATTTTTCACTCCTTTGTTGGTGTCATTTTCATTCATTAATTTTCAAAGAACTTTACAATTACAAACAAATCAATTCAAATTTCACTAATCTCTTGCATTTCTAATCTGAGCATGTTTTTGAACCATTGGACCGAAGCTTTTGGTATCCTAGTAAGGTTGTTCCTGAAATCCACATAATAGAGCCCAAAGCGTACAGTATATCCCAAGTTCCATTCCCAATTGTCAAGCAACGACCACGCAAAGTAACCGCGAACATTGCAATCATCTTGCCTGCATTGAATTCATGTTATGTACGGATTAAGATAGCTAGCAAGCAATGTTTCAAATCATCATGTTAGGATTATTTTAGATAAGGATATGTAGAAGAGATCACATAATATTAACGTTATATAGGGCTCGGCAAAATAACTGTACCGAACCGAATCAAAATGAAATGTAACTTTCTGAACAGTTTTAAGAACCGATCTGATTTTATAAACCGATTTAAAAATTGAACCAAATCAAAAAAATTAATATAGAAAACCGGAAGACCCGAATTTAGTTATTTTAACTCAAACAGGATTGAAATCAGTTGGCATACCTGAATTGATTTGAAACTCGTTATAAATCATAAACTGATTTTGAATCACAAACTGGTTCTGAATTGGTTCAAAAAAAAAATAAAACCAATTTTGATAAAATAAGACACTTTAATTCGTTTCAGAAAAAAAAAATGGATTCAGGTCCACCCATATCGAGCCTTAAATTAACATTTAAATAATATTTAGATTATAAGAGAGAATCTCTTAATTTCCATTTTTTCTGGGGGCGTTTGGTTGAAGGTTTTTTGAGATTTTCCTAGGTAAATGAAGTTTGATTTTTAGAAAACCAATGTTTGGTTCAACAGGTTTTGACCAAAATCCATCTATATAAAATGTCTGGCTTTTTGAGAAAGATAGTAATTTGCACTGTTTAAAAACCCGATTTGAGGGTGGTTTTTTAAGAAAATCCGGGTAAAGCACTGTTGACACACTTTTGTCATATATTTTCCTGATAAAATTTTGTCAAACCAAACTACTTTTTTTTAACTTCCCCATCTATTCAACTTTCCCTATGGATACCTAATAATTATATTTCTCTAGTATTCTTAAAATTTATCTTCAACCAAACGCGAACCATTCCCATCCTTATCCTTATTAGTTTCATATTGCAGGAATTCAAGGACTTTTAATAATACCTTATAGCAGCAGATAGGTTTGAGAGATAGTCCCTATGGTACCTTATCCGCTTATCATCCTTTAATGCCTTTTCTAAGGTCATAAAGGGTTTGCTTGGGTCATCCATTCCTGCAATCAGAAGTCTAATAAATGTTAAAAAATCAATATATACTTGAGAATTTAGATAAGCTTTTCAACCATAAATTACTCACCATTCTCTGTTATAATTACTGGGATGTTCCCATATTTGCTTTTCACATACTTTACCAACTTTCTGATACCCCATGGGACAATGTGCAACCAACGTGAAGCTGCCTGAAAAATAAGATTTGTTGATTTAACATGAAGTTTACATGTTAATTGTAGCCTTAGAGTGGTTTTCTGAGCATACCCTTTCTCCAATTGCAGCTCCTCTTCTATATGCTATAATGAAGGACAAGGGAAAATATCAGAAAGTTCCATTCAGCTTCAGTTATGTTTGTTTAAGGCAAAGAAAATGAATTAATAGCTTACATGTTGTAATGACAGCAGCATCAGATACAGCATCTTGCATAATAAGTTTATGAATCCGAGTCCTGTCGTTACGAGTATACACTGAGGTATAGTGATTTATGCCAATAAAATCCAAAGATCCCAGAAGCAAGTTTGAGGTTGCATTAGAAATCTCTGGCAATCTCTCAGCTACAAGATTTTTCATTGAGAGAGGATACATTCCAAAGAAAAGCGGGTCAAGGAACCTGAGTCACATTGGTGTTACACATTTTTTTTGTGTGGAAGATGAGTTCTTAGCTGTTACAAAGCTATTAACTTTTATGATAATCATTATGCTACAAGAAAGGTTACCATCCAAGTGAAAATTCCATGGCTCTGGCTGCTGCATCTTTGTCTTCATCAAGTTCAGTTATGGGTTCATACCAAATGGCATCTAGTGCTATCCCTATTTGACCTCCTTGTTGTTCCTATATTATCCATCAAATATCAAAATTATTTTTGATATTTTCAACTTCTTTATATATACATGCGATAGGATCCGTTTACAAACTTTTTTTGCAAATTATACTAAGAACGACCGGTCGTACACTACATAATTAAAGTATGACCGGTCGTACTTAGAGTAGTAAACAAAAAAGTTTGTAAATATAACTTGCCCCTATATACATGGAACAAATCATTTTATGCTATACTGATATAAAAACAATAAGTCTTAAGCGAAATATTAACCATTGATTTACTAACATCTAACTATCCTAATTTATTAGCCATGTGAACCGATACACTCATGTGAAATCAATGATTAAGATATAGACTCGTGCGAAATCAATGATTAAGATTGAGAGTGTAACTTATATCAGTATAAAATGATCTTGTCCCTGGGTATGAGATGTGAAGATGATCTGTGTCAAACCTTGAAATGTAGTTGGTAACTTCTATAGGCAGCAGCGTGAGACAAGAGAATGTTATGAGCAACAATGTATGGTTCCGTGGATGACTTTCCCTTCTTACATAAAAGATGACCCAAAAGGGAACATCTTCCTGGTGCTTGAATGCCTAAATCATAACCATGGAGAGCGAAGTTATGAGGTTCGTTGAAGGTAATCCAGTGCTTAACTCTGTCCCCAAAAGCTTGGAAGCAGGTATAGGCATAATGCTCGAAATCTTTTCTGTAAGTAAATAGAGATAACTGTGAAGTTCAACCTTTTGTCTCAAAAGCCCTATAACATTGGAGTAACTTACATGATTTGTGTGCTTAACCATCCTTCATATTTATCTTCAAGCATCTGTGGATGATCCCAATGATAAAGGGTTACAAAAGGCTGGATTCCTGATTGGAAAGAAAAACTAAATTTTCAATGCTATTTTTTTTGCTATATTTAAGATCAAATTCCCAATGAAATTCTTGAGTAACCTTTTTCAAGTAATGCATCAATGAGGCTGTTGTAATATTTTATTCCCTCTGTATTGGGTACCCCTGTTCCGTCTGTTAAGTTTTATATAAATGCAGTTAGCACTAAAATCAACCAAATTACACTAAAGTTTTGAAAATGATGCAACTTACTTGGGAAAATTCTTGGCCATGATATGGAAAATCTGTAAGAATCCATTCCCAAATCCTTCATCAAGTTTATATCATTCTGTATAAAAAAGAATTTTACATGTGCTTTAATTGACTGTTTATATTTTTGAGTATAGTTATTTGAAAGGACTAAAGAGAAAAAAACAAACCAAAATTGAAGTCACACCAACATATAGTTTTATAAAACAAAATTGATGTCAATTAACAAAGTAACGGTGTGTGTATAAGCAAAAATACAATAACTACCGCATCATATAGTAAAAGGATCTTTTGCAACTCTTAACACGCTTAGGAACTTTATGACACGTGTTCCCTGTAGGCTAATTTTCTATTACTTAAAAGTTGGTGAAACGTAGTCATCATCATCTTAGAATTCTCTTGTAAATTATTACTATGGCGGTGATCATTCTGAATTTTGTTTATACAATAATCGAATCCTGATCCACATTGACACGTCTACATGGATATTGGCCACATGCACCTTAATTGAGGCAGAAAAAGAAAATAGAAGCATGGAATCTGGATAAAGTAAAGTTGAAGTAAACAAATTTGTCTTCATAGTTCACCTCAAATCGGTGATATTGATCAACTGCCATATCTGCATTACTGAAGTCCACAATTCTACCTATCAATCATCATAATGCAAAACTAGAAATCAGAAACTTATCTGCACCTTAAATTCATTCCTTAAAAGTGTATTAGTTTTGATTACATATATTTGATACTTTTCTGAACATAAAATCTTCATGTCTACCTGGTATCTTTGAGAAAGTATCCCATATGCTATCTCCTTTATTTCCTTCATCAACAGCTCCCTCAAACTACAACATAAAACATTACCAAATTGTTACCTTCTTTGTTAGACAGATTGAACATAGTAGAAGGAAAAGTGGGATGCATACCTGGTAAGCTGAAGAAGCAGTTCCAAAGATAAACCCTTTTGGAAAATCTGTTCTGCTTATTGATTCTGCCCTCACTAGGAGTTGGGCTATGAGGAAAAGAGTAATACTGATCCTCATGGTGGTTGAGTTTTGAAAAGTTTTCTCTAAATGGTTGGAGGCTATTTTGCTTTGATTTTATTATATACAGCAAAAATGCAAGCTATCTTTGTTGTAAAGTTGAAGGCTATGGCTGAAGAAGCAATGGATATGAAGTCCCATTTTTGGTCATGTTATTCAACTTCTTCAAGAGATGAACTCATACGGAATTGGAATGGCATGGCAGTGTGGCACATTTGATAAGCAAGAGATTTTTCCAAATTCTTACTATGGCAAAATTTGGTAGGAGTGTGTGTGTGTGTGTGTGTGTTGTGTATGTGAGAAGGGAGATGAAAAAGGTGTATCCAAATGGTGAGGAAACTTGAACCTCGGGGAATGGCGCTGTCTACGTCAATTTAGGTTCTAGTTGCGGGCAAGAAACCATATGTATTCTTTTCTCAATGCCACCTTTGAAGGGTGCCTTTCCCTTTTTATACTTTCCATTTCTTGAGTATCTTTATGTCTTTGGGGGGTGGGTGGGTGAGTAAGGCTCTCAACCAGAGCATTGAATTTGCGTAAATAATTTCTACTTTTTCTTTTTATTGTTGTGTAAGTTGTGGAACAGTGATTATTTTGTTAGTAAAAAAAATTATCAGACTGTCACGTCAACAGTAAATTTTGTCAAAATGTCACGTGGCATATTTCGTTACACTGTGTAGCGAAATATGTGTGCAAATAATTGGCTATACAGTGTAGCGAAATATGCCACGTCAGAACAAAAATGTCACGTAGCAAAATTCTATCTGTTTGACAGATGACATTTTTTGTTCTGTGCATTATGACGTGTCATATTTTGCTACACTATATAGCGAATTACTTGCACACATATTTCGCTACACAGTATAGCGAAATATGTCACGTGATATTTTGGCAAAATTTACTATTAAGTTTGATAAAAAAAATTTGTCAATAGTAACACTTTCATCACTGTTCCTCAAGTTGTAGCCATGCACTAATTAACTGTAAATAAGAAGAATTATTAAAGAATTGGTGAGATTACTCTTTTCAATGATGTTCTTTTTCTTTAAAGGAAACTGACATATGCATGTACTATAATCTTCACATTTCATCATATGAGATTATTTAAAAAGGTTACTACCAAAAACGTAATAATATGATAAAAAAAAGTGACTATGTCATCCTATGTGAGAATATGAGGAAGTAAGTATATGCATATATAATTTTCCTTTATCTTAATAAACATGAAAATAACATATCTACTTAATTTGTGTTTCATTGTCCTTTTTAAAAATAAAAATAAAAATTAGTCGTAAATTCAAAAATAATAAAAGATTGTGCTGGAGAATTGACTATCAACGTAAAATATTCAATTAGGATCAACTATACAGTTGTGCGAGTGTTTTTCGATTAAAATTTTGTTAGAAGTATATAAAATCATTAATGTAGTCTCACCCAATAGTGGTTCTTTACATAATTTTACAGCTTTGATATCCCAGTTTCGATTCTCGTCGCCCCCACATTCTTTTGGGTTGAGTTAGTTTTTTACAAGTTTAAAATTTATTTTAGGTAAACTTAATTTGTAAAATTAATTTGAAATAGAAGTGGTTTTAAGTGGGTTAATTTATTTGAAAAGTGAGTTTGACATAATGAATGCTGTTTGGATAGTGTTAATAAAAGTAATTTTTAGATGTATAAAAAAAATATGACTTTTCTAATTCAAACGTTATGAGAATAGTAATACAATATTAAATTAAAAATATATTTTTAATCAGTACACCCAAATAAAGTTTTACTCACTGAAAAGGCAACAAAATATTTCTTTCACGTTTAAGGAGTTATAATCAAGTTTGAAGCCAAACTTGATTTTACTTCAATAATACAAAACGCATTACGTTCAAGGCAAAAATTATAAGTAGAACGGGTCCAAACGCAGCAATGGGGATTAATGACATCGTTTAATTCATATAATCTTTACTCTAATAAATTTATTAAAAATTTGTCCACTATGTGAAAATATTCCTTTAGTGATTGCAAATAAATTCTTATTTAAAAAAATTTACATGTAATCTGGGAGGAGCCACAGCCCCTCAGCATAAACTAGATCACCAAGATTTTATTTATTTTATACACGGATTGCAAAGAAAAAAAAATCATTGCGAGGAATGAATATAATGATAAGCGGACGTGCGAAAAATATTTGATGCTATAAAGAAATTTTATTTTTTTTAGATGAGAATAAGAATTGGGCATTTTTTATTTTTTTTCGGCAACTTCGTGATAAAACTAAACTACCTACTTTGTCTCAACACACTGAACAACTTGTGTTCAAATTCAACTTCTGTGGATAATATTTTGGACTATTTTGTGTTTGCCAGTTGCCACAGCCTCTCCAACTAATTTGGATAACTTAAAAACTGGACCTGGTTACATCCGTTTAGATTATGAGTAGATTTTTTTTTTTTTTCGTAAATGAGTAGATTATGTTTTCGATTCGGATAATATTGTGTTCAATTACAACTATGATTTAGAAGTTTAATAAAATAAATTCAATTGAATAAATAAACTGAATCATGATTTAGAAGTCTCGCCGTTTTTAATTTGATTTTTTAAAAAACATTGAAGAAGTTGGCTATTCTTTATCTCTATCACCTTTAACTTGTCTGCACCCTCAGAACCAAATATATAATCAGACTCAATTGAAAAGAAAAAGTTTAGCACCCTTCTCATATTGTTTGCAGAGTTGTTGGAGTTTCCCTTTTTATTTTGCTTTCAATTGCACCGAAAGGAAATGGTTAAAAACATAAATCAGAAATGAGTTTTATATCCAAGCTGTATTGAAATTCAGAATGCAGCACATGCCAAAAATTCTTGTCTCTTGCACATCCTCCTATGAGTTGTCAAAACTCAGCTTGCCAGTACAAAAAAAATAAGCCATTCCACCGTAAAGTATTAAGAGGTGTTATCTACCAATATACATTTTTACACATTTTTACAGTCGTTTTACGTACAGCAACGACAGTGTATGGTTATAATTTTCCACATTTAATGTTTTCATCTTTTGTATGGTCATAATTTCCCGTATTTAATACTCTCAAGCACTGACGGACCCACATTGGGTCACATGTCCACAAGTGCGGACATGTGATTTTGGATTATAATTTTTTTTTTTTGTAGTTATGTAGGTTATTATTTGTCTCTTGGCTCAATATTTATAGTAGGAGTAAATATCATTTTAAGTCCCTAACAAAAAATATGGTCTCCATTTTAGTCCCTTATCAAAAATTAGTCTCGAGGAGGTCCCTAAAAAATTCAAAGTGGATCAATTTAATTAAAATCGTAGTCCTCACAAATTCAAAAAAGACTTACATTAGTCTCAAAAAGACTAAAGTATGTCAACTTTAAATTTCATAGGGACCAGATGACTCTCTTTTTTTATAATAGACTAAAGTGGGGATCAGATTTTTAGTTAGAGACCAAAAATGATATTTATTCTTATATTAGTTAGCAACGTAGCAACGTACATAGATGATTAAAACAACGTAGCAACACAAATTGATTAGAGAGAAAACTTATTCTTCCTCCCCTGTCACGTACCCATTCTCATGGTTTCTCATTTCCATGATTTCTTCATCCTTTGTTATGGAAGCAACTAGATTATGAGCGAGTTCAAGTGTTAATTTAAACATTTTTTACAAAAAAAAAAATTCGGGGGCAACCCCCGCCACTAAATGTGCGGACATAGAGAAAATTTCCTGGGTCCGCCCCTGCTCTCAAGTATATATATGACAACTATTTAATTGCTGCACATAAAGTCGCTAAAGAAATGTAAACTCCTATATATGTATATATCAAGAGGCGTTTCTTTCATGTAATTATTTCTTTTGGACAGACTAAAAAAAACCTATAAATTTTCTCAAAATAACTTATCTTTTTATCTTAAGTAATAGACCTTGAATTTGTACATGATTTAATAATGTTTTAAAAAGTTTAGAAGCATACTTACAACTTTAATGAAGAGATCGAACTCTGATTTTGTAGTTAAGGGGCTGTAAAATCCTTG